TATTTCTTGTGCATTTTAGATTCAGGCGAGTTGGGATGCAATGGCGAGAGAGGCTGCCTGAGTGAATTGATATCGCTGAGATCAATTTTCTTATCCACCGGACTGCTCAACTTTAGTCCAGATTTTCGTTTGTTCCCCTGCAAGAAATTAAATGATCCCATGAATCCAACCACCAAAATATTGTCTGTTCTCAGTAGCATTTCATGAAAAACAGGTATATAAGCAAAGCCAAACCTTCATAGAATTACTGCTCGAGTTTTCAGAAGCAGCAGAATTCTGTTCTCTGTAGCATTGCCTCATCAAACTTTTATTTTCCTTGTCTAATATGTTGTTTTCTTGAAACAGAAGTTTCACCTGAATGCGTCAAATAATATAATTTACTGTTATTCGTAGGCTACCAAGACAGTTGATCCTAACATGCAATGATCATTCTATTAATTTATATACCTCCTTTTCAGCTCTATGCAGGTTAATCGTTAAATGATCCTTGTCTTTCTCCAAATTCTTTGCCTCAGCCACCAGTGCCACAACCTTCTGAGTTGATGGCCTCAAACTACAATTTAAAATAACAATTTAGTCAGATAATTGACTCAAAGTTGTGAAAGAAAGATCTGAAAATGGTGAAGTTTGATATAGTTTAATTACCAAGATGTTTGTCAAAAGTTGAGCTGGAATATAAAACTCACCTGTACCACATTTTCAGAATCTTTTGGCAAGCTTCGATTCCACTATAGGCCTCTAAGAACTTATGTGCAGTTGACGCGATTTCATCCTTGCCAAACATAGTTGCCAATAATGAATCTAGTAAAGTCTCTTCCGCAGATGTATCATCAGTGCACACATCAATCTTTAGCCATCACATATGATAATTCAATTAGAAACCAATAATTGGAATGCCTTAGCATCACATAATGCAAAGTACGATCCATCTCATTATCTATAGCAGTATCTGGAAAGAAATAGAACTATAGAAGGAAGCCAGAAAATATTGGCTGAAATTAAAACGCTGAACATACAAGACAAATTCAACACAAAAAATAAAATCAAGGAATTTTCAGCACTACCATATTATGGTAACTCTACTACCGACAATGCTCAGCAAAACATTTTCAACTTACACCATCAAGTTGATTATATACATTCCTTCAGACTTGTGAATCCCAAAATTTGGTCTCTCTTTTTTATGTGTCAATGGATATCCTACAATAGTATCTCCTAACCAGATGATATTGAGAGATGCTTCCAATGTGCATTCTATCACATGACCATTTCGAGACATGGAAAATAGCAGCAGTGGTTCGCCAAGACTGCATTGCAATTTTGCCCCCAACCTTCCAAATATAGCATTTTGGTCCCAAATCTTCCACTTTCGTTGCATCCTAGAGGAAGAATTCATTCCAAATGGACGTTAAAGTAGCATGTAAAACATGTCTTATGTTAAAGTTAAAATAGCATCCTTAGCATAGTTTGTCTGTGAGGTGGCATTTTGGAGAAGATAATCGTGCGAAATATGCTTGCATAAAACTAAGTAATTAAGCCCCTATTTGGCTTTGCTAAGTCTCCCATTGTTTCAAAACATTTTTCTACATACTCATTTTCAACCACATATTCATACAATAAAATTTTCTACACGTACAACCAAAACTTTTTTATACTTTTTAACCACTCGTTCTCCAAAAATTCACTATTCAAAATAATGTTTTTTCAGAAAAATGGCCACCAAACAGGGGCTTAATCATCAAAGCAGGATAGATATCCTGTTCTATCAGCTGAAAAAAAAAAAAAAACTATTTGGCTTTGCTAAGTCTCCCATTGTTTCAAAACATTTTTCTACATACTCATTTTCAACCACATATTCATACAATAAAATTTTCTACACGTACAACCAAAACTTTTTTATACTTTTTAACCACTCGTTCTCCAAAAATTCACTATTCAAAATAATGTTTTTTCAGAAAAATGGCCACCAAACAGGGGCTTAATCATCAAAGCAGGATAGATATCCTGTTCTATCAGCTGAAAAAAAAAAAAAAACAGGATTCTCCACCCCCTCAAAGGCTTTCCAATTCCTTCCCCTCAACAACATCCCTATCAAACTATGAGGAGCAGAATTCTGCTAGCATATTGCTAATCTCAACCCTCTCTACATAAACACTCTAATGTATCATCTACTGCTGAATGACCAGGTCAACTAAAATAAACTCAATGAAGCATTCCACAAACTGGCAGATACCTCGCTATGCAACAGAAGGCAACTCACATCCCCTCATTGCTTTCTTATGGCATCTCCAGATGCAGTAGACACAGAGACATTTTCTTTAAGGGGGTGCGCATTGGCGAACTTTACTTCCCTAAATAGCTGTTCTAAAGTGGATATTCTGAACAATACACCATCTCAGCCAAATTAACCATTTTGGTAATAGAAATCTAGAAATTTACTGAACAATATTAAAGGATATGAGGACTATATGTCCTTTAAGAATTTCACCTTCTTGAACTATACAAAACCTACATAGATGAGGGCTCTAGAGCAGGTTGTGGAACTTCATCTATGTTAAAGCAAAGAAGACACAGCTTACGTACAATTTTGGAAGACTTACTCTGTGTTATAAGGAAAAGACAATTGAGACATAGGTATGTAGAACTAATGGTAAAAGTAGAAAATAAAATCCAAGAAATTGTAACACCAAAAAACTAATGGTAACTTGTCAATGTAATATAGTAGCTATTTCACTTCTATAAAATGGGATAGAGTGATTAAGTATTCCCTCTTATTTACTTTTAGCAAATATTTAGGTGATGTTTATAAGCAGCTTGTTAACACCCAAACGACTTTTTATTCACACATTTCAAGAGACTACCATAAGTACTACAAACTTATCCTCATTTCTATCTATTGATAATTAAAATTGTTTATAAAAACTTCCCGAACATGCTTTTAGAATCAAGTTCTGCTGCATGTTTAATACCATGTCATGAAATATTATGCAGTAAATCAGCTGACTCTAAGAAGTCTTAAAAAAACTGTTAAGAGGAAGAACACATACCATACTACTAATCAGCAAAAGAAATTAAATTAGACTCCAATTATGACAGAGTTCACTCTCTAATCCTAAACCGGTCAACGATCTGGTCATTAAATTTAAAATGAAAGACATAATGAATTTTCAACACAACAGGTACAAAAAATAATTAAGGAAAATAATCATTACAGTGTAACCATAAATAAATTTAATTTCATTCCTCTCAAATTTATTTTATGGCATCAGTGGCTTCTAGATGCTCTTTATGGTTTAGTGCCAAAACCAATTTCAGAAGGACGCAGAATATATAACAAACCCATACAATCTTCACCGGAACACAAACTGTAAGCAAAAGATTTACCTTACACCTGTACAGTCCTTTCTGTTCCAATAAAGAACATAAAACATCTCAAAATATTCATATGCTTTATAATGCCTAATTAATGAACGAACGAATGATACAACAATTGCTTTACTTTAAAATGCCTAATTAATGAATGAACGTACAAAATTAACTTCCCCACAATTGGACCTCTACATGCATAGTTTTCATAGCTTAAGCAAGAAAAGCAAGGAACAAATTTCATCAAACAGAAATGCATCTCAAATAAAACAAACTCCGCACAGGTATAATATTTTCAAAAACCTCAGAATTGCAGCAGTTAATTAAATTTCAGCAAACACCAGTCTATTTAACCATTAATGTGAGCAAATTCTGCAAGAAATCAATTTCAGAAAAGAAAGGCGCACGTTTCATCAAACCAAAATGCATCTCAAAGAAAACAAAACTTTGCCTATGTATAATATTTTCAGTAAACCCATAATTGCAGCAGTAAAAACTAAATTTCAGCAAATATAAATCTATTTAACCATTAACATGAGCAAATGCTACAAGAAATCAATTTCAGAATGAGATGTGAATCAAACAACTTGTCCCAGCATCTGAAACATCAAAAATGAGATGTAGAACACTTTAAAAGCAAGAGTCCAAATGAAGTAAACAAAAGGAGCAGAAATTTAACAAATCACACTTTTCTGCGTGCACATCTAGGCACTCCTTCAATGATTTTTAATACATGTTATGTTAAGTTACACAAAGATTTCACTTAATCGATTTCACTACATATCCATAGTTTGATTCACACAATCCATATGAATAACTCCATTACTTAGCCATACTACTTAAAGTAATGTCATAAAAAATTCCCTAGACATGTTCTTCATGTATCATTGCTAAGTTATTTTATTATTTATTGTTTAAGCCTATTTAGGCTTCATTTTAATTTTAATACATTTTTTCTCTTTCTTTACTTTAAAAAGACATTTTTCAATACAATAAAATTTCATGTAAACCCAAAACTCTTCCTTTTTTTTTTACTGCGTTCTCTGATTTGTCTTTCCTTAATCTAGCATCTAGTATATCTATGGTTTTGCAAGTAATGATTTTGGTGGCTTGAAAATGCTCGACTTATGAATTTATTCAGCAAACTGCTAGAAACTCATGCAGCCCAAGGGAGACATCTTCCCATCATTGAAAGAACTTTGATTTTCAGGATGTATTACCATCAACCAAGCTTCCATTTTTCAAAATGAACAATTCGAAGTTCTCTAACAGAAAAGAGAAACAAGGCAATTATATAATACTCGCTCAGTCCGATCAATATGCTTTCTTCATAATTTCCCTGTACCCCAAATCACTTCTTTGGTTCGTTAGCCCTATGAAACCTATGGCTTTTAATAAATTTCCAAATCTGGGCCAGAACCCAATTAATTAATTGCTACCCACATGAGTAATTTCACAATTAATCATACAATCAATAATCAATGAACAATGTATGTGTTAACAAGATTAAGAAAATTTGGTGAAGAAATTAATATACCATCTGTTTCTCGCATCGACACTTGTAGAGATTCAAATCCTCAGATAACTTTTTATTATGCTCCTCTAAATCATGGACCCGAATCTCTGCTTCTGTAGCCCTCTCATCTGCCTCATTTGCAAAATCCATCAAAGCCTCACGATCATGATCATAAAGCGAGCACTCCCTCTCCCACTTATCGCACTGTGCCAACAAATTCGAACACTCCGTGGCCAATTTCTGGTTCTCTTCAATGAATTTCTTCAACGCCACGGCATTGATACTTGCCTCCGCCTGAGAAATTTGTTAACTCATTAATAAAAACGAGAAAAAATGTAGGTGATAAACCAAGTGGGGGTAAAATTGCAAACCCTAGTACTGTCTATAACGTTGTCCTTTTCTTTGAGTTTGGAATGGAGACACAAGTACTGATTACGAAGGCGAAGGCGAGCATCTTCGGAGGCGTGAAGTTTGAGTTGCAACGCATCTGCAGATACTGGGAGTCCCAAAGCGTCATCAATCAATTCTTTGATGTAAAAGTCGGTTTCTTGTGGGAAATCCATCGAGAAAATATACCCTAGAGTCTGTTGTTTGTTTTTCAGAAAAATCAACAAAAATATATCCTAGGTTTCTGAAAGAAACTTCAATATGCCCTAGCTTGATTTCTTTTTCCTAAGCCAAGAGATTGGATCTATCAAATTCTAGGAAAAGAAATGGAGAATCGATCGATGTCTGAAGCGAGAGAGGGAAGAAACGGTTTTGTTGCGTGTTTTTGGTCCGAATTTTAGATTTCAAATTGGGAAATAGAGGATGATCGGCTAGCCGTTGGAGGTGGGCCCAGTCCTCTACGATGCGACTACAGTGGTTTCGAAGACACAAAGGGTATATGACTAAAATTTCGTATTCGATCACAAAGTTTCAGTTAAGCCTTTGTTTGGCTCCCATTAATTCTCAAAAAACTTATTTTTTTACAATTCATTTTTAACCACACATTCGTCTAATAAAATAATATTCCTTATAAATCAAAAATCTTTTAAGTTGTGCTACCTCACCAGAGTCAGGGACAGGCTCAAAAACAGGGGCTGAGGTGGTGACATCTCATCCCTTCATCTGGGTCCATGGGATTTAAATCAAGGGCTGAGATGGTGACACCTCGCCCCCTGTTTTTTGAGTTGGTTCCTGACCCTACCAACAACATTAACCAAATCTTTTCTTACTTTTTAACAGCAGATTCTCTCAAAAATCACTTTTTCTTTTTAATTATCAAAATTACTTCTTAATGAAGCTCAAACAAGGGTAAAATCTCTTAAAACAGAAAATCATAAAATTGGTATGTGAAAACTGGGGTCAAATATTTAGCTTTTGACATGAATAATAGTTTTAAATATTTTAACTCAAAATTTATAAACTACATAATATGACAGAACCCTACTCAAATCCATAAACCTTACGACTTGTTCATCCCCATAACATTCTGCCATTCAAGCCTTCATCTTGTTGTCTTCTTCATCTATCGGGTTTTTGCATCATTTTTTTTTGTATGAAAAAGTCGAATTGATTTTGTTATCTGCTTCTAGTAAAAGATACAGATTTAGCCATTGTTTGGTATAAATTAAAATCAATTTTTAAGTAAATTTTGATAAAAGTTGATGAAAGGGTTAATTTCACAAACGGTCATTGAACTTATCTTAAAATGTCAAAATGGTCACTAAAATTTCAAACTTTCAAAAAGGGTAACTGAACTTTGAGGATGGTTACACAAATGGTCACTCTGTTAGTTGGTTGCACCATTGGGACCATTATGATTTTAATTTAAACTTCAAGGACCAAAACGAGTTAACACAAAAGCTTGAGGACCTCAAATGCAAAAAAAAATAATCTAAAAACCTCCCAAACCTTCTGGAGAAGAAGCCGATTTGCATTAAACATTGAAATTACAGCTTCATAACATACAAAGATGCTGATTCGCATTAAACATTTTTTTTTAACATTAGACATTGAAATTATAGCTTCATTACATACA